CTCCATCACCTCATCTAACTCACTCCAGAATCTCTCCTTCTCTTCTAACTCACACCCTACTTGTGGAGCATAACCACTGACTACATTCAACATTACCCCTTCAATTTCCAACTTCAAACTGATCACCCTGTCTGACACTCTTTTCACCTCTAAAACATTCCTCATCAGCTCCTCCTTCAGGATCACTCCTACCCCATTTCTCTTCCTGTCCACACCATAATAAAACAGTTTGTATCCCCCTCCAATGCTACGCGCTTTGCTACCCTTCCACCTGGTCTCCTGCACACACAGTATATCTACTTTCCTTCTCTATCATGTCCGCCAGCTTTCCCTGTCATTGTGCCAATGTTAAGAGTCCCTATTCTCAGACCTATACTCCTGCCTTTCCTCCTCTCTCTCTGTCTACATATCCTTCTGCCTCTTCTCCTTCTTCGATCGACAAAGCCATCTCCAGTTGATGAGTAATTGCTAACTGGTCTATTTTCTTTTGGTCTTCAAGTTAAAATAAATGAACTAAACACTAACAATTACAACCTCAAGTAGCTCTGGCTATGCCATGCTGTCTTTAGCTCCTTTTACACTGCCAATTCAAGGTGGGATTATTGTGCCAATTTTCCACCACACCATTCTCCAAGTCACCGTGGGTGTTCAGAGTAGAAACACCTTGGAGAAGGGAAATGAGCGTATTCAGCATATCCAACCTGCAGTAAAACACAGCAAATACAAAATACACACACTTCAAAAAGAACTATGCAGTCAGCAGGACAGACTTTCTACTGTTCCTATTACTTGTTGCATCAGTTTATAGTAGGAGACTAGATTTTCACTTTTAGTTGGAGGTTGGTAAAAAAAAAAAAGCCTAGCAATAAGTTTAAGCTTCTCCCATCAGTTAATAATAATCACTTTTATTGGCCAAGTAAGTTACACACACAAGGAATTTGTTTCCGGTACAGAACCGAGGCAGCCATCTGCAGCATCAACTCAACCGATGGCTCTAACTATTGGGGGAAACTTGGGGGTTCAGTGTCTTGCCCAAGGACACTGACGTGTGGACTGCAGGCACCAAGATTCGAACCTCCGACCCTCTGGTTGGGAGACGACCGCTCTACCCACTGAACCACAGTCAACCAACATTTAGTTCCTTCTCATAAAGAAGAAGTGTTACTCTGCCGCTCCTCTGTAGCCCAAATAAGCAAAATACAAAAATAATCAGTGGGTCTGGCCATATTAGCCACACTGAGTCATGAGCAGATCTTATTTAATGAGTGTGGAACTATAGACATAAATAGCTGGCGACAATAACGCTCCTTGTGGAGGCATTTCACCGATAAAACGCATCACTGCTCCCCGAATGTCACGTGACTTTTTCGTCTTCTCTGATTGGTCGGTCCCATTGCTGTTCGTCAATCCAAGATGGCGCCGACGTTAGTGGAGCATGTTATTGCAGATGCAGGAGCATTTTTAAAGAAAGCTCCTCTCCAGGTGAGGTGTCACTCAGGGTTGGGCTGACTGTGTTTTATGTGAACATATTCTTCACAAAGGTGTGTATAGGTATCCGCGATGGTCAGTGTCGTGAGTTATCCAGACCGTAGAGACCGAAGCGCACTGAGGCCGTAGCTCCACTGACACCGAAACCTACCGTAATACTGCTTTTATTCACAGATCAAATGGATTTCATGGGTGTGTAACGGTGTCCTTATCAGCTGAGGATGAGGAGGATGATGAGGATGATGATAATGTGGAGGAGGGGAATAATAATGATGATGATGATAATGTGGAGGAGGAGGAATGATGATGATGATGATTGATGATGATGATGATGAGGAGGAGGAGATGCAACTGCAGACTCACATCGGTTCTTACCTTTTATTCCTCCGACTGAACTGTAAAAATATAAAAATCGACAATTTTCCATCAAAATCTTTTATCTTCCGTCCAGTGGCGGAATTTAACTATTACTAACCACTATATCGATTCCTGTACTGTACCTAATAACACATCGAGGTACGTGTAATTTAATGGAGTATTTCCAGTTCATGCCGAATTGTAACGTTACTTATAACGTTACTTCAGAGGTAACTATTGTACATTCCAAAGTATAGTTAAGATTATGGTTTGACAAACAAAATATATGATCTGTTTAAATAAAATGAGTGCATTAATATAAGGCTCTGACTATTACTAAACTTTAGTTAAAAATTCATCTGCTATATTTTTTAAATATTTGATTGTTTTATTAGAAAAGTATAAAATGCCTGGTGTAATTTCTTGTTGATATGTCTGACCAAACAGTCTAAAAACTAAAGATATTCAGTTTAATATCATATGTGACTAAGAAAAGACTAATGCTCATCATTGTTTGACATAATCACACTTTGGGAATCAACTCAACTTTAAAGTAATTTTTCAAGCAAAAATGCCAAACTTGTTTTGTCTCTTTACCTGGGTTTGGGGCTCACCTTGAGCTCTCCACAACTGTGACATTTTATAGCCGTAACAATATATTTTAAAAATAAAAACTTAATGAAAACAATATATAAAAATGGCCCCGTTTTGACCAGCCACAACATTAAATTGCTTCTGACTTAATTTTGCATCTGTTAATAATGATAATGGTATGTCTCTGACCCCCTGGTTCCCCCGACCCTACTCCATTCTGCTGGAGAAGTACTTTTACCTCTGATACGTTTGATATTAATATTTTTATACTCAAGTGAAATTTTGAATGCAGGACTTGTAGTTGCAATGGAGAATTTCTACATTGGTGTACTAGTAGTTCTAAGACCACCCCTCCCCCGGGCGAGCAGGCTGTATGTCTGCAGCCAGCGTGAAGAAGACCCTCTCTAGGATCAACCCCCAC